CCTGAAAGCCATTTCTTGAAAGGCCAAAATTGAACTCGATTCCAAGTCTCATGTGTAACAGTGTGGCGGTGCCTCAGGCTCGATTTCTTTTTGAAAATTGCAAAGATGGAAAAATTCTTTATTCTTTGGAGACATTTCCTTTGATTTCTGTGATCGAAAACATCGCAAAACTGCTCCAAGGACAGTCCTCTCACCTTCAAAATCATGAATAAACCAACCGAAGCTAGCTATTCATATTTGATCAGAATTTATTGATCTTATCAAATAGACGCAAGGAAAACATTTGAGATTTATCTCTTGAAAATCAATTTTTATTGTTAATTTTTTCAACAAGGAGTAAAGCTCTACCAAGTGCAAATTGTATTGACCCCTTCGCAGTCTATGTGATCTCGGTCACTTCAAATAATGCAGGACCTCAGTTCTGCTCATTTGGCTATATTCAAAATTCCTAGTTTACTCTGTAGAAAGACGGAGCATATATAAACAACTTGCGAACCTCCCCACCAAGACCAATTCTAGCTATTTTAAGAACAAATTCTTGAGGACTAGTGTAAAAAACGTAAAAGAAACTTATACAACGCTTTGCTAACAGTAAAAACTCAGTGGAAAGAGAAGAAGTAATCTTGAGAGTAATTTCTTTTGCACTCTAGGGTGTGAAGTGGAGTTTGATGTAGGGTAAAGAAGTGGGAGGACAAACGGAAAGAAAAGAGTGAGTACACATTACTTGTAATGTAGCTGAAAGAAACAGGTTCAGGTTAGGTTTGAGCTAACCTAACAGTAAAGGTCGGATAATAGTAGCATTGGTTGTGAAGGTTTTTACTCCAAAAAATTATTTTTTGAGGTTCGCAAAAATCTAGAATTTTTGCTGCTCAAGTCTAGAGCCAATCTCCAGAAAACTGAATAGAGAGTTTTACTAAGCCTTTGCGCCAGTTTCAACCCATATAAATCGTTTGTAGTTGAGATGTTCAGCTCTAAGTTCTCGCCCACTACTGTATCCGGCTATGCTCGCTCGGTAGAAGTACGGTACTGGGCAAAATGCAAAGTGTTCATTCTTGGAACGTACCCAAGTGCAAACCATTCAGTGATATGAAAACACTCGGTGAATTCAACACTGTTTTCTCGCAGTATACTTATAAGCAAATATTGGATACCGCGCTTTACTTAGGTAGAAAATATGGGGGGGGGGGGGGAGGGGGAAGGGAGGGGGCCTGACTAGCTAGGCCTTCTCAACAAGATTCAACCCATATGAATCATTCGTGGCCGAACAATTTAGCTCTATGTTCTCGCCCACCACTGTACCCGAGTATGCTTGCTTGGCAGAGTACGGTACCGGGCAAGGGCCCAAAATTTTGCATTTCTGGAACTTATTCAGGTGTGATTCCTTAAGTGAAATGGAGACGTTTTAAGGATTTAACACTTTGTTTTTTTGCCATTACCGTAGTTTTTTTTCGAATTAGCCAACTAGCATCCTTGAGTACGGTAGTGGGCGAGAGTTTGAGAATCAGAAACCCGGATGGATACGCGGAAATATCCGTGACATTTTGTCATCCTTTACTCTCCCCCCTCCCCCCCCCCCCCCCCCCCGCCCAACACTTTTCAGCCTCAAATTTCTCATTGTTTTTCATGAATTCTTCAGCTTCACAGTCATAGGAAACACTTCCACGGCCACACGACACACCAGTCAGTTCTCATTCCAAGCTTGTCACTCTGGCTACGATTACGATCAAATATTCGGGTTACGATTCGGGGGAGGGAGGGGGGGGGGGGGGACCTTAGTGCTTGTCAAAGTCGACGTCGTACATATAACCGTGAAGCATCATGGGCAATAGCCGTTATCCATTGCGCGATCGTCCTCGGTTTGTTCTAATGAGACAGATGAGGACCGGTGGTGGCGGGGGTGAAAAACCCGATTTCGCACCAAAATCAGGGCAGGGATGTGTAAAATGTGTAATTTTCGAGAAAAAAACGATTGATTGGCTGTAATTTTGCATGTAGTTGTTACGATATCAGATTTGAACCATATCGAAAGGGTTTTCCCCCCTCGCTGAGGATTACGCGCTGACGGGCGGGGGGATATGTTGAGGTCATCGGCAGTTTGGGAATGTGAAACAGACAAGAACACACGAAAACGATGCGCGTTTTCGTGTGTTGGAATCGGGAACAAGGCCAGACGACTGTCAACCAACTAGCAATAAGCCTATTTTTCGCCGTCTTGCAGATATACACTTTTTAATCCCTCCCCCCCCCCCCCCCCCGCCAGCCATGCTCGCGCGTAAAAGGCGAAAACTCTCCAAAGTGTATTTGCACAAGACGCGCTTTAGTGCCCCGGCTACGCGTCAAATTTGTCGCGAACATCGAGCATCAGCGGCAATGAGCCGTTGTTTGTGTGTTTTGCTCGGCTTCCTCATTGCTAACGTCAAATTTCTATTGAAACACCTAAAAAATCAATAATTCTCACAGTAATCAATAAATAAGTATCCAGCTCAGTTAACAAGTTGCCCTGATCTTCCATGTTCAATGTGTTCAGACAAGGCAAAAAACCCTACTCAAAATTGGCGCAGCGCACAAAAAATCAATAATTTCTGCTCAATAATTCAACGATAGCCAGTTAAATTTGACATGTTTGACTGTTCATGATCAACTTGTTCAAACGCGGTATGAACTCAAAATTTGCTCTGCACAAAAAATCAATAATTTCTACCGTAATCAATCAATTATTAATTCATGCCACTCTGACCACCTTGTTCGAACAAGTCCAAATTTTTGTAAATGCGCTGAAAATTATTAGTCCTTACCGTAATAACAATTGATTCAAACCGACATGTTGACCTGATTTTCCATGATCAACCTCTTAGAATACGATAAAAACCTTATGCAAATTTAGCGTTTCAAGAACTTTCTGCCGTTGCAGACTTTTGCAGCCGCAAGGAAGGAACTGGATTAATGTGTGTTAAGCGTCCTTGTTTTTTTTTCTAACATCCAGATTCCACATGAGAATCAGATTTCCTACCGTAACAGTCAATAATCACTTCAAATTGGATTTCCCATATTTTCCATGCTCAACGTGCTCAAACATAGCAGAAAACCTTATCCAAATTTAGCGTCGCAAGAGCGTTTTTCTGCAGTTGCGGACTTCTGCAACTCTGCGGAAAAAAAGTTGAACATTGCGTGTTGAACATGGTGCATCTCAAAAAGGTGATCCGATCCAGTTTGACAACAAATTTCTGTGACCTTTGCTTCTTTCTATCGAGAAATGGCAACGATTGTTTGTGGTGCATAAAGGGGGAAATAATCCACAGTTTTCAAGCGGATACGGTGGATGTACGGTAATTGTAGGGCAATATACGTGGAAAACTAATGAAATTACATTTCTGAAAGCATTGTTTCTAAATCTCACCATATTTTTACGAATAAATGCAGTTTTTTGATTCGATTTTGAGTTTCCATCAAAAAAAATTAGAAAATTCGAAGAAATTGCTCTAAATTAGGAATCTTCCGATTTCCTGTTTCACTTCCTATCCTCCTTCCCCAACCTAATTTTTTTACAACTTTCAGTTTCTAAACTTCTTTTTGAGATACCTACGATCCAGTTCTTCCAAGTAGCCAATGTCTTCATAAATTACCTCTTCCTACTTTATATCTTTCCGATACATCTCATCTCACGTCAATCTGCTACAATTACTTTGGGAATGCGCAATGAACTGGTTTCGGATCAAATCCTGTAGCTTCCGTAGCATTAATTAGAGTTATGTGATATGATAGAAACATCAGTTGTAAGGCAGTATCATTTAGATACAACGACGAAAGTATAAAAATGAAATATGATTTAAGATTACGGTTGACGCCTGATAGCAGAATGCAGCACCTTGGGATTGATTTTTCGAGTTATTTTTGACAGATTTTTGGAGGAAATAAGAACAGAATATTTCTCGTGCGGGAGTCCGATGTTATTATGTTGATAATAGGAGAAAAAAATTTTTGTAACTTTTGGGAAAGTTCGTGAATTTTTTTTTGAAATTTTTCCTTTTTTTACATGAAAATTTTGAAATTGTTATCTCTCCCCGCTGTATACAAAAATATCACTTGTGAAAAATTATTTTGGATTCTTAATTTTTTCCCATTATTCTTGCAAATTTCCATCTTGCAATGTTGAAGAGCTCAAAAATTTGGACTCCTATTAGCACTGATGCAGCGAAATCTAAAAAGTCATTATTATGAAAACTGAGAGAAGAATGACAGAATTTTTGAAAGATATAAAGAAAAAAGGAAATTTAATTGCCGTAAGAAAGTGTCTTTAAGTGCACTGTAATTCATTTTTGTGAAAAAAAATAAACAATGCCAATGGATAGCCTTATGCCTCTTTTCTCTATATGCCAAAGATGAGATTTTGCCAAAGCTTCTGATTTTTGGGAAAAGCCGAAGAAATAGTACTTTGTTTTTGCAAGTTGCCGTACAACCCGCCTTGGTTATAGGTGGCATCAGATCTGAAACATTCGTTAATAAATTCCCATAGTCATTGAAATTCAAATAGCCGAAATTCAAATTATGTAGCTTGTTCGTGTCATTTTTGCAGATTACGGTAGAATCCGCATGCGTAAACAGTTATTTGTATGGCATTGATTTATTATTCGCTGTAAAAAAACATTTCCAACTACATTACTTGAGGTTACGGTAAGGCCACCTGCTCTCATTTTGAATTTTGAATCATTTGTCACAGTGGTCAGTTGATCATCGAAAAATTTGAAGATATTATTGATAGATTACTATAGAACCCACCTAAAAACCCATATCATATCGCATTCTAGCTTGAATTAGCATCACTGTGACGAATTACTGAAGAGCAATTAGTACTGACCATCGGAAGTTCGGCGGAAGGATCGTCGGTCGCGCAGGCGGCAACGACGAGGGGCGTGGTCGCTCCGCTTCGTAGGCGGAGCCTCGTGCGCGTTGCCGTCACTCGCCTCGACGACGACGCGCGTTTGACACTCGACGTCGCGACGATGGGCAACCGCTCCTCGACGCACTACCCGCCGCCGACGGCATGGGCCCATGCTCCTTACGGGGCCTATACGGTGCCCGGAGGAGCTTTCGAGGCAAAACGCGGACTTAGCGGTCCGCCTGGAGCCTACGCCGAGCCGTATGTTCCGCATCCGCAGCTGCGACGTTCGATGATAAGTCTGAATGCTGATTCGGGCTATATGACGAGTCCAAATGATTCGGAGCGAATGCGGTTGAGAGGATCACGGATGTCGCTGAATCACCTTGATTTTGATCGACAGATGATCTATCCGCCAGATCCGAAAACGATGAAGAAGCTGGAGAAAATGGAGAAGAAACAGCAAAAATTGCTGAAAAAAATGGGTGGTCGACCAGTTGCTCCACCTCCAGCAGTGTTTTTGCCACCACCACCGCCAATGTACACTCGTGCCATGTCTTTTGACGATTTGAACAGGTAAATCTCTTGGGAAATTTATATTTTCTTACTTTTATTCGTTTTGCTCATATTTTCGACGGTTATGTGCTCCTTTCCATATAATTAGCTTTCAAATGCCCCCCCCCCCGTGCTCGTCATGACCCCCTTGATGCCATCGGCTCGCATATTAAGCCTCCCCTTCCTCCACCTGTCGTGCAAGACAATAAGCGTAAGGTGAGAGCGCGTGAGGTATGTGCCCTCCATTGACCTTGGCCGGGGCCCCCCGTCCCTCGTGCGCATGTCTCTCGTCTCTCCAATAATTTGCCTCAACCTCGAGCTGCGCGACGACGACCAACATCTAAGAAATTGACACCACTACAGAGCGTTTTCGTTTTTTCGCTGCGCTGTGCCCCTACAACTTCGCCCCTTTTGTTATCGGTCATTCGATAGTGGACACAAGATTGCGCAAATACAGGGTTATCATGGCCTCTTATATGTGAGAAGGGGAAGGGGGGGGGGGAGGAAGGGGAACAAGAGAAGAGAATGAAGAAGAAATTGACTAGAAAAAGGTAAACAAAAAATGGGTGTGGAAGGTCCGTACTGTCTTGAGCAAATTGTATTCAAGCCAGAAAATCGTATTCGGTTCTTCATGTTTATTAAAAAAACGATATAAACCTCACAAATATAAAGGCTTATAAGCCTTTGAAAGGTTTCCTTTGTGTATGCGCGCAATTTCTTGAATATTATTTGTTTTTTCACTGCCCAGACGTTTCTTCGTTCTAGAAAATTTTTATCACATTTTCAAACTCATCGCAAGCATCATCTTTTTTTTACCAATTTGAGTCCTCCTTTTTCTTTTTTCTGTAGTTTTGATAATTCTGAAAACATCTTTTGAGCGAAACCGAATAAAAATTGGAATCTCTTGGCACTGATCTACAATACAACTTCTAAACAATCACATCCAATATATAAGGAATCGTTAACTCAATTCAAAAATCTGCGCTCTTTCAAATAGCATCTTTAGATTACTGGTTTACTAGTAAATAAATAAACAAGCAAATGAATAAGCAAATTGATGAATACCTTCTTCCAACAATTGCACTAAACAACGAGGAGTTTTTCGTTTTATCAAAATCACTCTGTAAGAATTTTCGTAAATCCATCCAATTTTGTGTACATCATAAATTTATTATCTCCCTTTTCTCGAAATTGTTATCTATATTCTCATGTATTTCTGTGGGAACCGTTCGTATATGTCTTATTTCCTAAGGAACAGGTTCCACTAGTTTGGTGTAAATCGTTCATCATTTGCTTTCTTTGACAGCTTTGTTCAAAGCTTTTTGCTTCTAACTATTAGCTTGTAGTCCGTTATTTATTGCTCTTCTAACTGACGCCTTTGTTCTTTTGAAAGTTCTTTCTGGGCTGTATGAAAGCAGGGAAGATGGAATCGAAGAATGGAAAATTAAGGCAAATAAGGAGGGGAGATTTTCCTACTCCTGTCTACTTTTTTTGTTAGGATGTATGGCTTTAAACAGTATATTTTTTATTTCTTTCAAGCAAGAAAATTAGGAGAAGGAGGGCAAAAAAATTCACCTTACGAGTGGAGACTGCAACTACTTGTAGCATTTAGCAGAATTGATTTTTTTGACTTAAAAAAGGTCTGGAACTCTAAAAAAACGTGTTTTCACATTTTATTGGAACTTTGCTCTATTCTTTCTCCTCCTTCGGTATGTTCCTAACTTGCCGTTGATTTTGAGATTCTGAACATTGTTTCTATGAACAACTACTAATTACGGCTGAGTAATCACCGTTGCTTATGTGTGCAATTGCACATTTTTGAAAACATGGTTTCCCGGACACATGATGTTGAGTTTTTTTTTGCTTTTCTTCGCACATATATCTTTAGAGAAAAAATAATAACATTTTTGTAAATCCATAGTTTTTCCTTGTTTGTTGAGATTGTCTTGTTTACCTCCTCCCTTTTCCATTCTCCTCATAGTTTACCCCTTCTCAAGGGCCTACACATTGTTTACTGAAACTATGATCAACCAGTAAAACTCTCTACTAGGCCCGTGTCGTGCAGTAACCTGTCCTTGAAGGGCCCTAGAAACTTATTTTAGCAAACAACTCGAGTACATACTGGGTAAATTGTTGTTTTGTCGAATTCTCTGCGTTCCATCATTATCATATGCTCCCTCATAAACTAAGGTTTTCTACTTTCTTAAGGGCCCTTTTCTCGCCTTCACAATAAGAAAAGTCAAATAGGTGTTTCTTTGTGCGTAATTGTATTACCTGGCATTACTAAACCATTCTCTTCCCCACCCCCCCCCCCCGAAATTCACATTACTCGCACTCGTTTCGCCAATTTTCCCCTCGTAATACTAGTCATTATGGTCTGTCGGGTTTTCACAATAGGGGACAACGGGTTATTGGTGACAGGTTAACGCTTGAAGCCAATAAAATTCGTTCGCATGTCATTGTCGTATGCGCTGAGAAATTATACCGGCAGTAAAATTGAGGACCAAAAAAAATCAACTGTGCCACTTTGGCGCGAGTTTTGGACCCTTCTTGCTGTCGGTGGTTTCCCAAAAGAAGCTGTTCAACTACATTGTACTTTTGATGGAACTCCATTGAGCCAGAAGACAAGAGTGGAATGGGAAGAGAAAAACGAGAGGAAGGGGAACAGTAAGGTTAACTCTTCATAGAGTCATGGAAAATCATTTCCCTGTTCAATTAAATTCTTCTTCTCGATCACTTTGCTTATAGATTTCCGTAATTTTCTTGCTCAAAGTGTTCTCTAATAAGATACTTTTTGAGATGTACCTCTTCAGTGAAGAAAGAACAGAGGGTTATAGGTGAAGATGGGAGAAAGAAGATATCAATTATAAACCTTGTCAAGCAAAATTATTGGACATCTTCCAAGATGATTAAATCACGCTTTTGAAAAAGATCACTTCACCCTTTATCTTTCCGTTCGCCAACTTTCTTCTCCCATTCTATGCTCCCAAAATCTTCCAACACTTTTTTAAAGGCTATCTGAAACTACTTGTTGTGGTGTTCTCTTTGGAAGCGCAACGAACAAGAAAAGGAACGGGGTGTTGAGGGAAGGAGGAGGGGGGGGGGGGGGGGGGGGAGGGGGGAAATAGAAGGAGCCAAACCACTTTTTTAACTTACATTTAATTATATTCACAAAGCTAAGCTTCAACATAAATGACAATCAAGCCTTCTCCCCTCCCCACATGTTTCCCTCTTTTTTTCTTCCTCCTGTTTCAAATTTGCGGTCCTCATTGACCCGCAGTCAATTCCCGTAAGTAGGTAACTCACCATTCAGAACCCTAATCGGTCAACGATCAATCAATGTTAGCGTCAGTTTATATGTCTGTAAAACGGGGAATGCGCAAATCACCTTAGCGAATATTCCAGCTTACACTTCCACCGATTCTATTCAAAACTTGGCGTGAAAACTCGTCCGACAAGGTGATAAAAGTCGTGTTAATCGTCATTTCTGTCGTCGCTTGCACACGTTTTTAGAGGCATGAAAACATTCGAAATGTTTGACATGAATGGAAATGTAAGAGATGTGGAGGAAGAGGGGGGGGGAGGAGGGACGGTAAAACTTACTACGTTAGGTAACTGATCAGTGTACGAACAGCAATCGGTTTTTTGAGAGTACTGTAAATCCCCTTTCAAACTTGCTAAATTCATGATTTTTCTCGACGGACGTTGTATCCTGCCTATAATAAATCATTCGGAACAAAATTGCTAAAAAATTTTTATAATCATCTTTCTTTAGGAAAGCAAGAAATTGACGTAGAAGAGTAAATATTTATACATTTCATTTAAAAAGTTTTTGAGAGAAATGTAATTGGAGTAAATAGTACTGGTCAATATACTCAAAATCTAAACAACTTGAAAAATTCAAAAAAGAAACGATTTCTAGCGAAGACGCCATATCTCGATAAATACTCAGCAATTAGAGCTGCTCGTCTTATAATCACCGCCGCCTAATTAAAGACTTGAAGGTTACTCTCATTCTCCCCCCCCCCCCCCCCCCCCCATCCCCGTCAACTTTTGCTTTCCTCGGCACCGAGGAGGAAAGCACTTTTCACTGTTGACACAGACGAAAGATGTTTTCCCTGGATATCCTTGAAATTCCTGTTTTTTACCGCTTATAAGTCGCAAATCTACCATGAAGTATAAACATTCGCACCAATGCGATTTTCGGACCAGTTGTCCGTCCCATCGTGCAAGGACATACGAGACATCTACCTTGACATTTATTATATCGTATAATTTTGCGAACGGTGAATGATGCGCTGCGCAGCGATTTTTACGTTGTACATAATGCGTTTAGGCGTGTATTGTTCGCAAGAAGACATAATGCGGACCTGCACGCCGCATTTGTTCACGCGTCAGCCAGATTTGTGTGTTCTGCAAAGGATTTTATGCGCATCAAAAACGAGAAGGTTTTGGATCGTTTTGGTGCCGGTGATTCGCACAGTTTGACGTGTTTCTGCGCAACCTATTTCTGAAAGTTCAACGGAGAGCGCGCGAGGGGGGGGGGGGGGGGTCCTCGAATCGGCATAAGTATACAGGCGGGTTAACGACAATTCCGCAGTAGAGATTTGATGTACAATATTACCGTAATCCACGGGCATACGAAAGGCATATGGTGGGACGGATTATTGTCTGTGATATATCGAAAAAATGTGTGTAATATGTCTGTAAATTCATCTGCTCTACGAGTCGTTTTGGCGAAATCTCTGAAATCCCGCTAATCACGCAAAAATGGTTCATATTCAACGAATACCAACATATTTTGATGAGACTTTCAATAGGTCTATTTCACAAACCGCTCACTTGGCACGTTTCTACCTTGAAGTTTGGCTCCCTGTCGCAACTTTTCGATGCAAGCGCTCCTAGAAGTACGCAGGCCGTAAGCACTGGCTTCCGCGGTATCCGACGACGATTACCGTATTTTCACCATTCCTACAATCGCCATCGGACCTCTTCTTGCCTTGGCGCATTGCCAACAAAACGGCTAGTATCGACGGCGCCTCATTTCGGTGTATGTCGGCTTCCGTTTTCAGTCGATATTCTTTCCCCTGTTATCTGTTGTGCTCGCGCATGCCAGCCATGTTTCCGCCGTGTATATCCTTTCCATTAGCGGTCAAGCGAATTGACTGCATGCAGAGTGGGAAATGGATTGAAATTTGTATTGGTTTTGATCGAGCCACCTTTGTCTTTGAAACAGGATAATAAGAACTAAAGAACTTGAGCAAAAAGGTAGTCGTGCCATGTCTCCACCTTGGCGAAGCGTAGTGGATCTGTTTGGGTGAATCCTTGGGAGCGTATCTGTTTTCGTGTATACGCGAAATCTTTAGCGATAGGGCACCCACTTAGTTTTAGTATTTTGGCAGTTTCTCAGTGGATGTAGTATTTATTGTTATTGAATGTCATCAGGATATGTTGGACTCTCTTCTTCTGCACTAAGGTTAGGTACTAGGATAGGTGGCGTCGTGCATCAAGCAAGCGAGCGCACCAGGACTCGGGTACAGTCTAGATGTTGAAGGCCCATCGAGCCGCCACAATCGCTCGCTTAACCCCGCCCCTCACTCACGCCCACCCCATTTTTAGAAGGTCTCGTTGATTGAACTGTCTTAATTTACTGCCCATACCTCTTCACACATTTCTAGGCAATAGTTTGTAATATTACCCACCTAGAACCTATCATACTAGTCTATTACGTCTAACAAATGGGACCGGTCTTTACGCGTTTACGTGTATGTTCGTATTACTGTAATGTCACTGTAATAACTGGATAAAGCGCACACTAATGGCAAAACGTGCATGTGGAAAACGAGATGCATTAGCCGAAAAAGTGACATTATGCTTGACTATGTGCTAGTGGTAAGCGGGCAAGCTTCTTGAAAGTCTTGGACTGTCGGAAAATTTCAAATCAGTATTTCGCATTGTAGTTCAATATTAATATGATTGACAACATCTTCTTTTTTGGATTCCAGTTACAAGCAATGGTTAACGAATAGGTGACGTGACTTTGGCAATAAATCTATGACCGCGTCGCAACCGGAACGCGACAGTCGTAAAAGTCTTGCCATCTTCCACCATAAACACCAGATTATCAATTACCCCAGCAATTTTGCGAGTTCTACAAGTACAATAAATACAAGAGATGAGTGACGAAAAGGCGTGAAGTGTTCGAATCGTCTACGGGTAGAGGCGGCGCGCGCGTGCTTAGGTCAACTCAACACCATGACATATCGTCTCGTGCAAACCGTGCAAATGTACACAAACAACGCGAGAGCACTCTCGAGTATCTCCTCTCACGGTTCGGCTCATGCACAGGTTTTGAGGGTCTGAAGAGCGGATGGACCACATTCAAGTGGAGCGAATCAGGATGTGTTGGGGATATGCGAGGTTATTTTGCTAGATGAGTTGAACGGGGGACGGGAGGAGGGGGAGAGAATGGGACCCGAATCCTGTCAATAACACAGTTCAGCCCCAGAAAATCCTGACACTCCTTTTTATGCTCAAAAAACGATGGTAAAGTTTCTCTCTTCTCATCTTCCCTTCTAGAATGTCACCACTCGAATGTGCAAGTGACTTTAACACTTGGCTCTATCTTTACTCATTATTGTTTTATTGGAATCATCATCTGAAATTCAAATAGCTTCGTAAGAGAGACCTTTTTTGGCTCATGGCTCACATTCCATTTTTTGAAACTTTGAGGTTTTGAACATCAGAAAGAAATTTGGAGGACGTGAGTAATGCGGTAGAAATTACATTCGAAAGAAATTTTTGTCATGGAAAAATTTCTCAAAATTTCGCAGACTGAGCTGTGGAGCACATATTCAATCTGGCTAGTGATAATTTACCACTGTCCAAAACGAAAGTGCAACCCGTACCCTAACCCTTACCTGGTAAAGGTAAGCAAGCAAAATTATCCACCAGTTATTCTTTGCATCATTCAAAGTGACTAGCTAATTGTTGCCATGCGATTCATGTGTCAATCAGGAGGAAATCCGCTAACGTGCGCCCCGTATCCGGTTTTTTACCCCCCCCCCCCCTCCCCCCGCTTGAATGGTAAGAAGATGTTACTAGCTGACAGGTATCATCACGGGGAATGTCCAGCGGTGTCGATGACATCGTCGCAGTATTCCAGTTCTTTGTACCTGCGGTTACGTTGTGGCGCAGCAAATCCTACGATATCTCTACCCTTCCTCCTCCTCATCTTTGCGATTTTCGGGGTAAAGAGGAAAGATTAGGCTCAAGCGACCTTCCACCCATCACTGGCAGTAATTTGTTGGTTTGGTGAGAGAGTTTGTGAGCTTGAGAGGACGCAGATGAACAATTGTCGTAACTTCAACTATTTTGTACTTCTCTATTCAGTGCGTGGTAATGAAAATTTCACTCCCCCAATCCCCCCTCTTCTCCTCTACCCCGCTCGTGTGAAGCTGTTCGCAAAAAATAGCGCTTCAAATGTCGGTGCCTGGACATGAATAAAGTGACGATAAAGGAAGTCGGCGTGAAGTAATTCGCAAAACAAGGAAGCATGGACAGCCACGCAAGAAAAAAGTCCAAAAGTACGTAAGCAGACACTGAAAGTGCAAACAAAAAGTGCACGGAGGATTACATGGCGCCAGATTTTTTCTTCACTGCCCTTTTGGTCATCGGAGTGGATATGTGTCAATTTACGGATAGCAAAAAAATTTCTGAGAAGGCGGAAAAAATCTCTCATGCGTAACAAGCGAAGAAATTTTAGAACTCGTAACTAGTAATCGGTAATTCTATGAGCGATAATTTCGATATCCAGAAAGTCCATATGAACTTTAAGAAGTGCCCGTTGGCTGCCTGACCGTTGACCCAATTGAGCGTGCGCACGCGCGCGCAACCAGTTCATGAAATATCAGCGGCATTGCTCGCGGCGCGAAAACAAGCATAAAACATTCGATGACGTCTACGCGCCCTCAATGAAGTCATGATGTCACATTTCGAAGCGTAAAAAAATTCATTTTTAAGAGAAGGGTTCAGATATTGTGACGGTTTGGTCAAATGAATGGGAGGCTACCAATATCCCAGGATGAAACTAAAGTACTCCATATAGGAGCTAGTAATGTGGAGTACACCTAGCAGCTTAAGAGCAAAACATTTGAAACTGTGGATGAGATTATTGATCTGGGATTCTTGTTTGATGACAACCTCTCATGCAAAAAACATTGTGCAAAAACTGCTGCCATAGGAATGGCTACGGCACAACCTGCTTAGAGCTCATACAACTGATAATATGGAGGTCTTGATTCGAGCATATAAGGTATATGTCAGACCCTTACTTGAATGTGGTAGTTATATCCAATCCGTCCACAGATGTTGCAGCCATGCATTAGAGAGGGTTCAGAATAGCTTTACCAGAATCGGAAATCAAAGTTCATATATGTTCAGCTCCCGGGCTTCAGGCTTCGTAACAGAAAGTTTGGTTTGGAAAGCTTGGAAAGAAGAACGAAGAAGTTCGATCTTATTATGGCACATAAAATATTATCTGGAGGCTGTCAAGTTAACCCAAGTGACTTCTTCGAACGTAGAAACTCAGTAACTACAAGTGATCCAAACAAAATCGTGCTCGTTAGAACAAGAAGGAATGTGAGGAAGAATTTCTTCGTCAATAGAGTTAGCCGTGACCTTGATAAACTCCTTAGAATGCGAATGCTTCTTGTAAAGCTTTTTTGTTTCAAAGCGGCCCTCAAAATCTACCTACTTTCTTCCTGCAATACTTTTGATTGATGTCGTCGCTTTTTCCGTTTTGCCTTATACCAAGTGCTAGTTGCTGTTGTTTTTCCTTCGTTGGTGTCCTTTTGTTTTTGTTTGCTTGCATCATTAGCATAGGTTATCCTACGCAATATATAATAGTTAATAATAATTCTTTTATATTTGAGCTAAAGTATCGTTATTTATTGAGTTGAGTTGATCAAAATTTGTTTTGCTTTGTTTGCATCCTTACCAATTTACCTTGTGGAGGCGAAATTTATTCATTTTCAAGCAGCTGCAAACCATAATCAAAGCTTAAAAAGTCGTCAGAGTTTTTGAAACTTTTTTTTGAACTTTTTTCTGCTTTGAATACACCTCGACTATCCAATTGTGAGCAGATTAGAGGAGGAAAAGCGAGAAGCAATCAAAAGCTGCAGAAAATGACTTCTTTCATACAGAGTTATCCCCAAAACTGGATTGATGATGTGGTGGATCAGTTCTCTTTTTATGTACTCTCACTACTTTCTATGGAATCTAGTAAAACTGCGCAAAAAGCAGCACTGTCAAAATCTAGTCCATTCTTCACGCTAACTGTCGTTGTCGTTTAGTAAAATCTCCATGGAATGCGGGGCTTTCACTTTTGCGCGCCTCAGCCTCATTATCGAGGTTTGGAAATCCGTCATCAAACTTTAGACGAGCATTACACCTGCTGAGCTGTGAGAAACAGGGAGTGGAAACAGGTGCTCTCAATATCCCTTCCTCACCTCGTTGACCGTACCATAAAACAATCGATAAACGATTATACAAATGCGCGGGGGGGGGGCAAAGGTAATTATCCTCATAGCACCGGTTGGACAGCGGTCACCACAGGCGCTTGAGCGACGTGACAAGGATTTTCAAGTGCTTTCGTGTAATATCGGAAGCCAATAGGGAAATAGAAAATAGAAGAAAGGGGGAAGGACACGGAATACTTTTATTTTTCTTGACAAAGATTCAGCTTGAAGTTAATCAGCTTGAAATTCTAGGGTACACGTGATGACGCCGCCTGACTTGAGATTTCGAGATCATTGGCGTGGAGCTTCCCGATTTCGACCCATGGACCATATGGGCCGTTCGACAGTGAGGTACGAATTTTCCCATGGAAAAGATAACGTCATCAGCGAAGAAAATCATTACAGTACCACCACTACATCCGGACATGCGGTACATGGAACAGGCTCAATGGCGTCATCACCAGTTACTTCCATATCGGATGAACATACGGGAGATGCATGGAGAGACTCACCTCTGAGAAGGGATCCTCGAGGTAAGAAAAATTTTGAAAAATACCAAGTTTGCGAACTTTAGGAACTCCCGAAAAAACGAAAAGGAAGAAAAGTTTAGGAACTTTAGTTTAGGAATGTTACAGTGGATTTAAGCGAATACCTTTCGTGTCGGGTTTTTTAGATTTTCGCTCCATCTCCCCTTGTGATTGTAGCTATCTAATACTATATAGTGAACAATAATTTTATGCCTTCCCCGAACCCATGAGTCGGTTTTGTAAATTATTAGGTTGTCCCGTAAATTTTGTCGGTTTTTTCAAACCACTGTAAAACCACGCACAATAAAGACCTGAGTGAGTTTTAACATGCATTCGATGCACTTTTCCTTCTCTTCCTTATGGATACACCTTCGTACCATAATCTTGTATGCTTTTTTGATAATTGCCGAAATTCTCCACTTGTCAATTTTACCTGCTCAAAGTTGAGATAATTCTTAAGAATTTCATTACAAAGTTTCGAAAAAGGTTAAGTATGTTTCAAATAGAGCAGCTCTCGGACTACAAGAAGGTATTTTTAGATTCTCCACTGCTGATTTTAACTTCAAAAAATTATTTCTTCGGAGGCCTTGGTATTTAGCAAAGTCATGAAACGCGCAATTGCAGCAAAAGCATGAAAGCTTTTGAAGTTTTTGCGAATTCAAACTTGATTGTTATTAAACATCGTTTATGCAACATAACCAAGTTTGATTTGCTTCAAAAAACAGCTTTTTGGAATTTTCGGTAATTTTACGTGGTATAACGTGTTCAAAAAACCGCGGTTTTTCTCAAATAAGTAATTGTTTAGGACTTGATAAAGGTGGCCCATGTAATCTAAAATAAGCACAATGCAGCCAAAGGTTTGCTTTACATAAAAGTCACTAGCGCTCGTCGAAAATATCAAGATAAAAATTTTGAAAATTCAGGAAAATTTTGGCGCTACTGCTGAGATGCTCAAAAAGCTATGGCGATAACATCGCAAAGACGGGGTAGATCAGGGAACATTTATAGCTATAAGAAAGAGGATAAAAATCTGAATTGATTGACATCTAGGCCGTTCATGGATTGGTGTTCTGTGAGGTTTGGTGAGCGATGAAAGAAACCGACAAAACTTTTGGGACAACCTAATAATTCATGTTACAATAATGAAAATAAATACAGAAGACATGTCACCAATGAGCGATAATAGCACAGCACTTAGCAGCAACATTCGATCTGTGGATTCCGCTAAACCGGTAAATCATACAATAATTATACTTACAACAATAATTATCGTTATTATTCAGAACAAGCCAAAAACAGTGGAGATCAAAGTGCAACGGACAGAAAAAGTGGAAAGACGAGAGAAATTTGATCATAATAAAGATTGGCTGAACAATAATGATACATATGCAATGCCAAGGTAAGTTGAATTCCGAATTTGTATGAGTGAAGATGAGGAGGAATAAAAGAAAACGGGGAAAGATGAACAATATTATCGGGTTGAAGGATAATTCTTGTAACGAAGTGAAATGCCGTACGTTCCTACAGATTCAATAATTCTGGCACTACTACAAATCAGCTGGTATACGCAATTATGCCCGGATTACTTCTCATAGTTTAGCGGATCTATCACTGTTTTTTTCGTGTAATCTGCTTTGATACAATTTTTCGCGCTCACCTCGCTCATCGGGTTTCTCGGGTTTCATGAATGTACATGCAAGTATTGGAAGATAAATGTGAGCGATTGGCATATTATCAACGCATTGACGAAAGGCTTGATTTTTTTGCAATGGCTACTATCTTGAGTCAAGCCCATTTCGGGAATGTTTTATTATGCTGGATTTGAGCATAACCTCCAGTTTTTGTCAGCCTCTCGGCGCTACTGAAGTATGCTATAAATGGGATCATGCGTTATGTCAATAAAAAATGTCGACTGGACTTGAAAGGCCTTGTTCTTCATCAATTTGTCAAACGTGCAGCACTCTATTCTGTTGTTCAAAGTGAATGACAGGAGAGAATAAACATCAGATCTTCTGCTTCTATCACTACTGCAGTTTTCAGAGATCCTCCCACATTTCCTTGTTGTAAGACAAAGAACATTTTTTTCTGATCACATAATTAACTTTGTCTTCTAGGTGATTGCCACAATGATTTGATTTTGTTGCCATTGTTCGTAATAACATAACATATCCACGAAAGTTGACCAAATGCCTCAACATTTACGCTGCAATGGAAGTGTTTTCAAAAGAACGAGAATGCCACAAAATCGCGAAAAAATCCCAGACACTTTAAGTGATTTCCTTCATTTTCAAATGTACACAGGGACCAATTGTGACACACGTATTTTCGATGTGGTTTGCCTTGAGAGCTCAAAATGAAACGTACCTTTCAGACAATGGTCTGATAAGTCTTCTTTTTTACTACCTTCTTCGTAGATGTAAGTAAACAAGTCAATGAACTGATAGAAAAACCCAACAAACGCCGGAGCGGAAAACATGTGTGCAGTCTTTCAGCTTATTCGGTCCTAGAAATTTTTTTATAAAGATTATACTAATTAACATATCTACACAAGTAATTTTCTCCGCTCTTCCGCTCTGGGCTCAATATAAATATAGATGTAGTGAAAGAAATCACTTGTGTCTGTCACTAAGTTTCTGATAAGTTGACAGGAATGGCCGCGAAGCAGATTTTTACATCCACTAGCTGAGTGTTTTGTGCATGGACAGCAGATGTGACGGTGATGGGTAGACCGTCTAACATTTCGCCCTTCAATATGAGATCTTTCGACATTTTTGGGATTTTTAAGAGGCACAATTGAAAGTGTAACAAAATTATCCGCCAACTAAATAAAAGCACGAGATAGCATCTGACTTATTTGTTCCATAAACGTACATTTTCAACCAGTTGACTTAATTTGGACCAAGTATTTGTACTCACTGCATCATTCTGATTTGAAAGTTTCAAGCCTTCAACATGACGTCACGGTTTAGAATGCAGCCATCTTTTGGTTCACGATCATCACTGTCTACTTCGCAAGCTCGTGGTGAATCTAGTGATATCGATTTTAGCTGGATCAGAGAGGAAGAAAAGAAACTAAAGAATGAGAAAGGTACCACTCTCAAACTTCATCTACACTTATTTTTCTATGTACTTTGCCTAGAATACACAAAGCCTCTGCCCGAATGTTATTTCGGCATGGATCCTCCGAAATTAGAGGACAATGGCAATGTTAGACAACGTGAAGAAAAGGAGAATCTACGCCGTAGTAACGTTCGCAGTACTACCGCAGCACTGGAGCACGAGTTAGCAAAGGAGAAAAGAGAGGTAACATCTTAAAGCATTTTACGTTCTTTGTTCATACAACTTGAGCATTTCATACGGACTTTAAAAGTTATCTCTGCCACGCACATTCATTATAATAAGTTTATTTGGCCTAATCTTCCGGCAACAATGCGTTCCCCAAAGGATTAAAAGCAAGTCACTCACTTAATTATACACTTCATACGGCCAAACTTCCCGTGTAAGCTTGACAATACAGGGTGTCCGTTAAGTATGTATACACTGTCTGATCGTTAATATCTTTCTTCCCAACAAGTCTTTTGCCTTGCTTCAAGTATCGTTTTGTAGAGCTGGCTTTAGCTTAGATTCGTAGTATGGACCGAACCACCGATCGCCTTTCATTACTGTAGGATTACGGTAGAAGAAACATATGGTGCCAATGTGGAAAAAGCTGCCGTCTCATAATTTTTCAAAAAAAAAATTGCGAAAACTTATGTATTAGGGTTTGAACGCTGAGTTCAATGTTCAACTATTCACAAGATTGTGAAGCTTTCTAAACAGTGTAACCGCACTTTTTAGGAACATTTCAGGCTGTTTTGTTTCCTGTGTGAGGCAAAATATGGCCTTTCATGGCTCAAAATCCTCTTTGAAGTTTCTACAGTAATCCCACAGTAATGAAGAGAGACGAGTATTTCGTTGTATTTCTCTCTATACTGCAAATGTAAGTTGAAGCCAGCTCTACAAAATGGTAACTGAAACAAGGCAAAATACTTGTTGGGAAGAAATATATTAACGATTAGACAGTGTATACTTGCTTTACGGACACCTTATATGTTTTACCATCTGGCAAACCGGCTCCGCCTGGCCTTGTCAATAATATTTTCGTAATCAGCATGCTAACCTAAACTGTGTACTAAATCCCAACCTCGTAGGTGCTTTGCAATCGATGAAATCGATTTTGATCAGTGACGAGAGGTAGTCTACGTCACCCTCCCCGCTCGAAGTATACGTATGAGGTGGTCTGGATCGGTTCAAAAATTAAAATTCATATTCGCAACATACTACTTAGTGTTATATATAGACCTTCCCCCCCCCCCCCCCAGCATCGTAGCCTCAACCCACTTTCCAATTTATGCGTTGCTTGATAGGGCGCTTTAGAGATCCACCTATGACGCGCACTCAGTAGAAGTCGCTTGGGCTAATGTGCTTTTGAAGAGCCTTTCTACAATTTTGCGCATGTTTGGAGGCTGGGTTTGCGAATTGCAGTTACTTAGGGAAAGGGGTCTGCTACCTAGCATTATCGAAACCTGACAAGGGCCTATTTTGCTGAGCCATTGCCTTCAAATTGCCATGCTCAGTGAGACCGGTCGGTCACTAAATGTGCTTGTAAATAACACATTAGCTGGTAAAAGACGAGAGAATATAGCAACTCCGCTGAGAAAACACAGAAGAATAGATCGTGGTGGTAGCATTCGATGTTGAATCATCGTATTGTAAAGGCAAGATATCTGCGAACAAAGCTTGGAAACCTCATTTGTCTTTTTTGGTGAATCTGAGATGAATGAAACAAAGAGCTTGCTATCACTTATAATCTGATACCGTTCTTTTCATTTTGCCAACTTTTACAATTCCGCCACTTTAAGCAGTAGGATATAGTAGGATGGCATCCATTCTTTTGTCGTCAGCTATTGAACAAGGCAGTGTCAGCATCTGATGTTTGGTGTATCACTGACCAGTACGGGAGTGTTCATATTCAATGAATCGAATGGGCAAGTTCGGAGAGGCATGGCCGTGTAAAGTATGAAATTGGATTACTGACTTACTTTAAGCATCTGAGAAAGACGTTGTTGCAGAAACGTAAGGCCAAATAAATTCTTTATTTCCCTGTGTGGCACAGGAAACTCGAGAGTGGTAACACTTTCGGAAAAAGCGTCGTGAGGGGAAGCATGGTGAGCAAGCCAATTTACTAACATGTGCTCAGGTCATGAAATCCCGATCCTCTACACATCTAGAAGATCGTCGGCAAGAAATTTCGCCACGGCGAGATATGGGACCAATGGCTAGAAGATTGCATAGAATGCAGGTAAGTAGAGTTACAATAACAAAATGCACATGATAGCTAGTATTTATTTTAGAGAGAGGCTGAAGTAGCCAATCGAGACTATGGCGACCATGACGATAACAGGCAACGATGGAGAAGTAGTATGGCATTTTGAAGTGCCTCAAAGTCCTGGAGACTTTACGCTTAGCACATCCTCTTTCCTCTCTTATCTTTATGAACGATATCCACTTAGTCGAAAAATCGAAACTTGCTCTGTTTTCCAATTCCTCCCCCTTTTATGAAAGTCTTGTGGTTAAAAACTGAACACTCCCTTTCTTTATCTTTATCTTCACACGTCCATCTCACAGCTCCTTTGCTTGTGCTTTTGCTTCTGCTCAATCAATAAATTTCTATCTTATAGATAGATGTCTGTACAGTTTTCAGAACAAATTTGTCTGTATCGTCATAAACTGTATATATACATAAAAGTAAAGCTATTAATCTCAGTCTCTAGTGTACCGCAGGCGATATAGTGAAAGTTTCCGAGGACCAACTGATTTGCCGCCTTTTTCGAAAGCTTCAATCAGTACTGAGGTGAAAGCGCAAAAATGGGACGTTCCGAAATTACTATAAGCTGCTGCAAGACGAAGGGGTCGGTTCGATATGCAACGCGGCTGCGACATGGCTGCGTCACAGCCGCGTCACAGCCACGTCGCGCCCGAACCAACCGCCTTCGTCTTGCAGGAGCTTATAAATGGCTTAAAGAGGAGGGTACTTTCCCAGAGGTATTGTGGTATCGCGTGGTACTGCTAGGTTCACTTCATTGTTACGAGTGCCATATGGAATGACCGAGTTTTAGTCTTGCTTATGTAGTGGCCACTTCGATATCTAATTTATCGCAAATGAGGTATGTACTTTTGGATTTTTTTTATGGTTCCTGTTAATTCATGCTGTCTTCCTCTCGCTGAATTGTCTGTGAAAGTGCAGTATTCTCATATTCTTGTTTTAGATTTCTAAAAATGTTAGTTTTGTAGAAAAAGTGATTTCTTTTCGCAGGAGAAGCTGTTATCTAGTGCAAAATCCAGTGGAAATTTGAGAAAATGGAGAAGAAACAGCAAAAAATTGCTTTATGGAATGGGGGTCGTCCCGCTGCTCCATCTCCACCACCTGCAGTATTTTTGCCACTACCGCCGCCGATGTACACTTGTGCCATATTTTTTGTCACTTTGAACAGGTAAATTTTTGAGATTCTTGTATTTTCATTTTTTTTCTTTGCTAGTCTTATTTTTGCAATTGTCTTTCCCGCTCTTCATATTATGCTTTCGAATGTGCCCTCCCCCCTGCTCCCGATGACCCCTAGAAAAAGTTATTGGCTCATATAGAGAGTGTCCTAAAAATGTATCAAACGTTTGTTTCCTAATAACTTCCTTATATGGAAAGCTTTCGCGGATCTTTATATGTAGTACGGTAGGGCTAGCATCAACTTAGATATACTGTGAGCAAATCACCGATTTCTCTTAGTCACTTCAGGATTACGGTGAGAATTTTCGACTAATTGTAGGAATTCATCTTGGCTTTGTCAAACAAAGTTTAGTTGAACCTTGAAGACTTTTCATTTTTTTAATAAATTGCGAGTAATGTGCACAGGATTTAAACAGGGTTTAAACGCAACTAATGATTTGATTTGATTGATCGCGACGTGGTAGTAGTAACGTTGATTTAGTATATTTTGGAACAATTTTAAAAAATTCGGCGTTACAGTGTGCGCATCCCGTAAGAAGCCATGGAGTGCAATAGCGAAAAACTTTCCTAATTGAACCCCGCATCTCCGAAAACTTATTGTTAGTTTGAAGTCCTTCGAGTTTTTTTTGAAATTTTTTGAAAACAACTCGTCCATCAAAAGCCTAAAATTAGTCAATTCCTACCGTCCTACAGGAACAAGAGAAATTGGTGATTTCCTATAACTGTATACAGTGACCGCCAAGAAGTTGCTGAAGCCTCCTTCTTTTTTATCGCTCATTTTCAGGTGGAAAACGAAGATGAAAAAAGATGATTGCGTGTAATGATAGAGCTCGCCAAGAGCTACAACCCACACATTGCGCTTTCTGAAAGCATGTATTATAAATATTATAAAAGTTTTAAAAATCTTTTTCTAAAAAAAGTCCGAAAATGGCGGCGTCACAATGTCGGGGACATTAATTCTTCAAACGCGAAAATTTTTTATTAGGTCTTTTCTTGGAGCAAAAACAGAAGTTATCCGGACAGTTAAGCATACTATATCGTAGAGCTCTCAAGGGCAATAATCGAGTAATGGTTCCTTCTAAAAAAACCCAAGCTTGAATTTTGTTTTGCTTTTTTTCAAAAAATAACTTTCAATTTCCTCCTTTGAGCCAAATTTCTTCACATGGAAATCTATTCAAGGCATTCCAGCAAGGCTGTTCGGATAAAGTGGATGCTCTTCGCCATCCTCTATGCATCGGACGTGTGCTGGTGAGCTTCTTTGTTGAAAATGGCTCTTGACAGTGCGTGCACATGACCCCACCTGCACCTCACCGTTGACTTGCACCGCTTTGCAGGTTTGTAGCTCAGCCGGCGGTCATATTACGAGCCTGCAAGAGGCTCATTCGAAAGAGCGTGACTTCCTGGACACGATGGTATGCAGAAGAGTTGGGTATGAGAAACAGCAGAAATTTGGCGGATGGGGTGACAAAGCGCAGCTTCAGTGGTAGGCTAAGGATTTTTCAATTAAAGTTGAGCAAAGCTTCTTTCGCCACCAGTTTCATCCTGGAAGTTCAAAACCGTCAATTTTCTTGTAACAAATCCATTTCGGAGCTCTAAAACCGTTCTAGTGTTGATAGGAGCCTTCACTGCATTCACCTCTGAGGCTGCGCTTTGTCACCTCATCCGCCAAATCTCTGCTCTTTCTCCAACTCTTTTGCATGTCCAGGAACACGCTCTTTCGATTGAGCTTACTTGCAGGCTCGTGGAGTGACTGCCGGCTGAGATACAAACCTGCAAAGCGGTGCAAGTCAGCGGTGAGGTGCAGGTGGGGTCACGTGCACGCACTGTCAAGAGCCATTTTCAACTAAAAATCTCACCAGTATACGTTCGATGCGTAGAGGATGGCAAAAAGCATCCATTTTATCCGAACAGCCTTGCTGAAATGCCTTGAATAGATTTCCATGTGAAGAAATTTGTCTTGAAGAAGGGAATTAAAAGTTATTTTTTGAAAAAAAAACCAAAACAGAATTCAAGCTTGGGTTTTTTAGAAGGAACCATCACCCGGTTATTGCCCTCGATGAGCTCTACGATATAGTATGCTTACCTGTCCGGAGAACTTCTGTTTTTGCTCCAAGAAAAGACCTAATAAAATTTTCGCGTTCGAAGAATTAATGTCCGCGACATTGTGACGCCGTTATTTTCGAATTTTTTTTAGAAAAAGATTTTTAAAACTTTTATAATACATGTTTTCAAGAAAGCGCAATGTGTGGATTGCAGATCTTTGCGAGTTCTATCACCATATGCAATCCAATCAATTTTTCATCTTCGTTTTCCATCCGAAAAGGAGCGATGAAAAAGGAAGGTGGCTTGTCCGCAACTTTTTGGCGACTGTATTTAAGTTGATGCTAGCCCTACCGCGTGGCACCCAAATATCCGCAAAAGCTTTCCATGTAAAGAAGTTATTTATTGAAGATCAAACTTTTGATACTTTTTTGTAGAGCCTCCTTCCTCCGTACCTGACGCACAAGTCAATAAGCCTTAGGCGAGAGCAAGTGGAGTATGCGCCCTCCATTGACCTTGATCGGGCCTCCCCCCCCCCCCTCCCTCTGTGTATGCGCATGTCTCTCTCGTCTCTCCAAGGATTTGCCTCAACCTCGAATCGCGACGACGACGAACATCTAGGAAATTGACAATACTACAGAGGTTTTCGTTTTCTCACTGCGCCCCTACATTCTGCCCCTTTTGTTAGCGGTCATTCGATAGTGGACACGAGATTGCGCAAATACAGGGCTATCATGACCTCTCATAAGTGTTGTGGGGAGTTAGAGAATGGACGAAAAAATGGAGAGAGCTCATGTGTGGTGAGGAAAACAAGAAATGGGCAAAAAGAAAGAGGAGACATGGAAGAGAAGAAAGATGTGACAGGAAAAAGGAAAACAAGAATTGGATATGGGAAAGCTTTCACAATCTACCACACTTGATACACCGATCTCCTCCTCCTAAATTTTTTTTCGGGTAACCACAATAAGTATTCTCCAGTTTTGCATTTATACAAAAGTATTAGATAATGATTATAAGAACTATCATATAACCCTCAGAAATCTTTTTTTTTTGCAGGATGTTTTGACAGCACAACGTACAAAATGTTGTGAATATCAATTTCAATGTGTCTACAGCTTCTGGAAATTTTTGAAATTTTTTTTATCATTTCTTTGTTCTCCTCATCTTTTTTTATTCTGCTCCTAACTCTCCTCATTTTCTTCTCTTCAAACCATTTTCATGTTTTTATAAATATAGGCAAGGTAAGCGGATAAGTCTTGCAATTTGTGGCCAGGATCGTAGGTGAACAAATTTGAGAAACTAGTAAAAATAGATAAACGGGTTTCTCCCAATGACTTAGTTTGGTATGTAAGGAGTTCTTCGTTTTATCGATGCAATCTTCTAATGTGAATTTCGTGAAACTTTCATTCTTTCACCATTTAAAAATTTTAGCTCCTTTTCCCCTGCAACCTCACCGTCACAGCTTCCTCATCAATGATCGAATATTCAGATTTTCTATTGAATTGTTATTTTATTCTCAAACGAGTCCTATGTAACTGTTCGTATACATCGTATTCTCTAAGGAACAGGTTCCACTAATGTGCGTAAATATTCATCATTTGTTTTCTTTGACAGCTTTGTTCAAAGCTTTTTGCTTCTGACTATTACCTTGTAGTCAGTTATTTATTGCCAATGCTCCTCTAATTGGCGTTTTTGTTCTTTTGAAAGTTTTTCTGGGTTGTACGATAGCAGGGAAGATGGAGTCGAAGAATGGAAGAGAATGAAGGGAAGAGGGGGATATTTTCCTACTCCTGTCTATTTTTTTCTTGTTAGGGATGTATCGCTTTGAACAGTAAATTTTTTATTTCTTTCAAGCAAGAAAATTAGGAGAAGGAGAGCCAAAATTTCACCTTA